TGATTATGGAGAAGATGAAGGTGATGAAGATAACAAACCAACAGCAACAAAACCAGCACCGATCACAATCAATGAGGGAGATTTAACAGAGACTACTTCCTGTCTTCACTTATCTAGGAAGCCAGCATCGTTTCAACCACATATAATCGGAACATACCAGCCAGCCAGCCCGCCAGTCAGAAGTGGAAAGGCCAGATTCGCCTTCATCAACCTGAAACCAGTTTGGAAATCTGCACTGGACTCCACAGCACAAAAAACAAGATTTGGATTGTATTTAACACAAATCTGAAGTCAGTCAGTTAGTTCTTCTATGGGGGTTAGAAACTTGCACTGCGTTGTGTGAGTTACTTGATATGATTATGAGCAATAGTTTGTGCTAGAAATTTCATCACTTAGTATTACCGTATAAAACTGCGTGATTATTCAAAATAAAATTTTATCTATAATGGAGTTATACTCTAACACACTGCCTAAGTTTTATACCTATATTATTTCCAGCAAGTTGCAAACTTTTGTTAACAGCTGGCTTCATACTGAACGCCAAATGATCAGATAGGATTAGCAAGAAGAAACTCCAACAACAGACCAATAATGAGGGGGTTGCTCAACAAATATGCAACAGAAAATGAAGATGGATTGCGCATACACTGAAGCGCCGGTGAATGGCATCATGCGCCAGGCCATAGTTCGAGTGGAATTCCACTGAGGGAAGACAAGTGGGCCATCCGAGGGTGACATGGAGGAGATCGTGCGAGTTGGAGGAGAAGAGAGACTATAGGCAGATATGAACCTAGCTGAAGAGGACAACAGAAGATATAACAAAAGTGGAGATGTGTTGTTGAAGCCGTATGTTCCACTCGGAATGCAAGGGAATAATAGTAATAAATAAATAATCTATTGCTTCTGAGAAAATTTGATTACATTCCTCTTATAAATGTGTAACATTGTTATGCTTTATTGATTCTTTTTACCAGAATACATCAAGAGGCCCACGAAAACATCTCAACTGCTGGCCAACATTTTGGACGGCGTTATTAAAAGAAGCGATTTTTCTGGAGTGTTGCGCAATACATTTCAAACAGTTTAATGTCGCATCGACCCATCAGTTCAATTAATACGAAAAATAAAAAGGAAAGGTGATGGGTCATTTAGAATAAACAAGAAAGATAAGAGATTTAAGAGTAAAAAGGATTAGGATTGAACCTAGTCCGGGTAATATAACCTGATAAGAATAACCAACGTAGGTTAAGAACAACAATGAATTTAGAGGACCATCACCTCAGCATTATTCAATTTACCCACCCATCATGTTTCCATAGAATGTATACACCATTTTATTTCTTCAGTGTCCTGAAGTTCACCTTCTTGACTGTTTAATACTCCTGATGAATACGAGTATTTATTAATCCTTCATGTCGACTAGTACCGCTCGCTAGCCAGATCGAATGGACCCGTCGTTCGGAGTCGAGTTCATTATCAATAAGGTCCTTCTAACCTGAAGTTTTCTTTGATCGACCTTCACTGTTTGTGTTGTAATTAGCTGGCAGGATAGCGATGAAATCAAATATCTATCCCAATTTTGGCTGTTCCAGTTCTTTTTGTTTTCACTGTTTGCAAATTCCATGGAAACAAAAAGCAGATTTTCTTTCAAAAACCAGGATCGGTCAATCAACTAATCTTGATGTACTCTACTCAAGTGATTGACAATTAAACAGTTGGTTTGTGGAGATTTAATTGGTTACAGGATTTCATGATGAGCTGACATTGGTTAGAGAACCATCGGAGAACCTGGGAGTATTGGACAGCCAGCCATTTCATCCTAGTTTGAGACTCCTAATCAATACGCACCCACCGCCAGGATTCTAACCCAGGACCTTCCAGGTGCAACTGAAAATTGTCATTACGGGTGGTGTACAGAAAGAATTAACTAGACAATGATTTCAACAAGAATAATGGCAACTAAATGCCTATAAATATCATCATCTAGCTAAGAAAAAGTATAACAGTAAAGCTGAAAGATACTCATATTTATTGATTTTACTGAAATCTAATGAAAAGAAAAAACAATGGTATAAAATATGATTATCTATAATTATTCACTTCACTGATTTCTTGTAAACGAACAAGAAAGAATAAGCACAGCGAGAGAGAGAGAGATGTGACCACTACACAACCACTGACTGCCTAGCTGTCCTATAAACAGAATTATATAATCTAATTTATAGATTTTCAACTTTGTATAACATAATTTGACTTTGGTTTAGTGTAAATACACACGCAGTAATCCACAAACACTCAATCACAGATATTTAATGTATAATAGAAAAATAGAAAAACAAACAATATTTGTTATTCGAAGTTATAAATAAAGAGTCAGTAACCAAAGCGTCTTGATTTGAATAGAGATGTTGTTTTATTTTTAATGGTGGTTAACTAACACATTAGCGTAAAACAAGTGAACATGTACGTAGCGTTTATTCATGGAATCTACGATTGGATTTAACTGTTTAGTCATAGACATCAACTAATATAAGTGTAAGTTGAATATTCCCATAATTTATTTAGAACAGAATAGTTAGAGCGAACAATTGTTTTCAATAAATTCTTCTTCAGGCTCTACAATTATAAATCCATTAATTTAAGCATACAATAGCCAGCCAATAGAGGCAAATTAGAATCATATCAAAAAGTGTATTGTGGAACAAGTATAAGATAGGATGGGATGGAACAACAGTCAGTTGGTTTTTTAATATGCATGGTCGATGAGAACATGGGATAACATGAGATGAAATAATTTAATTTATTGATGCATATATAGTCAACAGAGAGTGAGTGTAACCAGGGTGTGTGAGACAATATGAAAAAAAAACCAACGAAGAAGACAATAACAGTTTACCTTTCTTGGACGTCCTGTTTACCATGAAGACAGGCGGCTATCTACAAAGGAAATTATTTAGAAAGAAAACTTGGACGGTTCAGTACACTTACTTTCATAGCTTCACACCGATTCAATACAAAGGAAACTTGGTTGAGTGTCTTAGCCATAGAATGAAACGCAAATTCTCGGAGGAATGCATTAAGGAAGAAATATCTAAACTGAAACTTACACTACAGGAAAATGGATATCCAGAGAACTTCCTAAAAAAGTATATGTCAATACCTAGAGACAAGGTAAAGGTGGATACCGTAGACGAGAAACCTTTGTATCTTAAGTTACAAATGGGAAATTGGAGTTGGGATTCTAACTTCTCGAATTAATAGAAAGTAGAAAGAACATTTCCTGAAGCTAAACTGGTACTCAACTTCTCAACTAAACCAGTACTCACACAGCAAGTCAAGGATAAATCACCAAAGATGGCCTCATCAGTATGTATGTATGATATCATTACATTGGTAACCTCGCCAGACACTAGCTTGCTAGGCTACTAGCTTACTAGTTTTCTCGCCGGTCCCAAGCCCGGGTAAAGACGGAGGGTTGGGGCGTGGTGCTAGCAACTCCACCCCTCTAAAACAACCAAATCGCTACAGAAACTTCAACGAATAAATGTATTAAAAATTCTAAAAACATAAGCAATAGCCTTCCTTTCGCTGGAATAGGGGAATTGAAATGACGCAGGCTGGTGAAAGCCTGCGGGAAGCCAGTCAGCCAATGTGCCTTCTTTTGATGAAAGCAAAAGTAAGGATGGGTACCTGGAATGTTCGTACAATATACGAAACTGGAAAGGCTGCCCAGATAGCCACTGAAATGAGAAGGTATAGCCCTATGTTCCACTAGGAACCCAAGGGAGCAATAATAAAAATAATTACATTGGCCGTACTCAGAGGGTTTTATCCATGCGCGCACCTGAACATGTACCTATATGGTTAAGTAAAGGGGAAACCAAATGCGTAAACAGTGCAGTCCTAGCCTACTTGGTAGATAGATACTGGACACCCGGTATACAGAAGACGTATGTTCAACCACTATGTTTACCTTGGCCTACAATAAAGCCAACAAATCCTCCATAAACATTAACACTATAAATCCTTATCACAATTTTCTTTGCTTCTTCTATTCCTTTGTTTCATTTTCCACCTTTTACGGTTTCATAACCTTTCTTTTGATTTTATTACCTTAGGTTTAATTAGTGCTTTTCTAACTTGTTATCGTATTTACAAAATCCTGCTCATTCCACTTCAATATATTCATTATTATTATTATTATTTGACAATCATTCCCCAATAGTACCTGTAATTTTACACCATATCATCGTTACAATCATTCTTATTGTCGTTATTTTCAACCTTGAACTTATGTCTACTCCACCCCATTCGTTGGTTTATTTTCATATTGTCTCACACACCCTGATTACACTCACTCTCGAAAGCTGTATTTTTCTGTTGACTATATATGCATCAATAAATTAAATTATTTCATCTCATGTTATCCCATGTTCTCATCGACCATGCATATTAAAAAACCAACTGACTGTTGTTCCATCCCATCCTATCTTATACTTGTTCCACAATACACTTTTTGATATGATTCTAATTTGCCTCTATTGGCTGGCTATTGTATGCTTAAATTAATGGATTTATAATTGTAGAGCCTGAAGAAGAATTTATTGAAAACAATTGTTCGCTCTAACTATTCTGTTCTGAATAAAAGTGTATCACTTAAGATTAGTGTATTTATCAGATGTTTGGACTGGTAGAAATACCCCTGATTTCAAGGTATAATTTCAGCACGAATCGATATGAGCTATAGAATAATTAAAGCTTTAACCATAGTGAGTACACTGCCATTCAACCAGTGAAACTCACTAACTTGCCCGGATCCGATTTGTTAGGAACACACATGCAATTGTTGTGTGAAGGTTTATGAAACTACCCACTACTACTCATATTGATGTTGGTGGAACCAGATTCATTGGTTGTAGGTCAAGTGATTAAACCAATGGCCAAATCTTCAATTCACCTACTGAGTTAGAATCCGACAGATTATTATTATTATTATTATTGTATCCTTTAGTTCCTAGAGGAACATAGGGCTTCAGCTGCGCACCTCCATTGACTTCGGTTTTCTGACAACTTTTTCACCCTGCTCCAGGTCTGCCCACATGCTTTCATCTCCTCTTCACATGACCTCCTCCAAGTCACCCTTGGACGACCAACTCGCCGCCTCCCTTTCGGGTTCCACTCGAGGGCTTGTCTAGTGATGTCACTTGATGGTTTCCTCAGCGTATGGCCAATCCATCTCCATTTCTTTCTGCCTATTTGTTTCACAATCGGTTCCTGATTGGTTCGCTCCCAGAGATCCCTGTTGCTGATCTTTTCTGGCCATCTGATCTTGAGTATTGAGCGGAGACAGTTGTTAATGAAGGTTTGAAGTTTGTTTGAGATGCTCTTTATGACTCGCCAAGTCTCTGATCCGTATAGTAGCACTGACTTCACATTGGAGTTGAAAATCCGGATCTTATTTTTGATGCTGATTGCTGTTGACCTCCACACAGATTTGAGAGTAATGAAAGCTTGTCTTGCTTTTCCGATTCTGGCTTTGATGTCCTCGTCAGTTCCGCCTGTAGTTGAGACGATGCTTCCCAGGTAGGTGAAGGAGGTTGTTTCTTTCAGGTTCTTCCCATTTATGCTTATTGTGGTCTGTTGGTGTTGTTGATGTTGGCTAGGAATCTTCATTATCTCTGTTTTATCTATGTTCACGTGAAGTCCTATCTTTGATGCTTCTTCTGCCAACTTGTTACTTTTCACTTGCATATCTTCCAGTTTATGGGAAATCAGACATATATCATCGGCGAAATCCAGATCCTCCAAGTCTTTTGTGTCAGTCCATTTTATGCCTGTTCCCTCGTTGGTTGCCGTTGTCTGTCGCATTATCCAATCAATTGCAATCAGGAAGATCATTGGTGATAGTAGACAGCCTTGCCTCACTCCCGTCCTCACTTCGAAGGCTTCCGTAAGTTTCCCGTTGTGGATTACTTGGCATGCAGCATTGTCGTATAACTGTTGGATGAGGTGTATAATTGTCGATGGGACCCCGTAGTAGCGAAGTAGTTTCCAAATGACCTCTCGATCGACGCTGTCGAAGGCCTTTTCAAAGTCGATGAAGTTGAGATAGAGAGGTGACTGCCATTCCAAGCTTTGTTCAATGATGATCCGTAGAGTGGCGATTTGATCAATACATGATTTGTTTCTCCTGAATCCAGCCTGTTCCGGACGAAGTTTTTCATCTAGGGCTTGTTTGATTCTCTCCAGGATGATGCGACTTAGTATCTTGCTTGGAATGGACAGAAGCATAATTCCACGCCAGTTTTTACATTGACTTAAGTCTCCTTTCTTTGGAAGTTTGAATAAGTAACTGTTCTTCCAATCCTCGGGTACTTTGCCCTCTTTCCACACCTTCTCCAGTAGTGGTGTCATCAAGTCCGCTGTTGTCTCTGGGTCTATTTTCAAAGCCTCTGCTGGGATTCCATCTGGTCCCGGTGTTTTCCCAGTTTTAAGCATCTTGATTGCATTCAGGACTTCTGATTTCGTCGGGGGGTCAGTGTTCACTGGTAGTTCTGCTTCCGTTGTTGGTATTGCTGGACGTGTTGTAGGTGGCGGACGATTTAGAAGTCTTTTGAAGTGTTCAACCCAGTGCTTTCTCTGTTCCACCTCTTTGGTGATTGACTTTCCATTGTCGTCCTTTATTGGCTTAATCTGTGTCGAACGTTTGCCCGAAAGGTTCCTAGTTGTTTGGTAGAGTGTGGCGAGGTCTCCTTTGCCTGCAGCTTGTTCTGCTTCGTTTGCCATGGTTTCATAATATTTTCTTTTGTCTTCCCTGGCACTTTTCTTCACTCTTTTGTTCAGTGTATTGTAGCTTGCATTCAGCTCCTGTTTTTGTTGCTCGTCAGTGCACTGGATAATCTTTTGCTTCACTGTCCTTCTCTCTTCTATTAGTTTCCAAGTGTCCGTAGTGAGCCACTGTTTGTCCTGTCTCTTTTTTCTGCCTAGAATTTCTATGCAGGTTTGGCTCCACACCGTTTTCAAGTTGTTCCAGTGCTTTTCAACGCCGACCTCTTCGCTAGTGTTGATTTGTGTCTCGGCTTTGTCCTTTATGCTTGCAATGAAGATGTCCTTTGTAGCCTGGTCCTTCAGCTTTTGAGTGTTGAACTTGGCTTGTGGTCTATCTGCAGCTCCTGATTCCCTGAAAGCTTTTAATTTGATTTGGATTGTCCCTTGTACGAGATAGTGGTCTGAGCCAACGTCTGCTCCTCTTCTTGCTTTTGTGTCCAGTAGGCTGCGCCTCCACTTCCTTGAGATTGAGATGAAGTCGATTTGGTTTTTGGTTTGCCCGTCTGGTGTTATAACTGTGGGGAAGGAATTGAATGATGACGTTTTCACCTTATTCTGTCTGCGCCTGAACTAATCTGTCTATCTGCTCGTCGTACCTTCCGACTTAGTAAAGCACGCAAATATCAAAAGACAAAGGCTGGACTGTGACTGTGTATTGAAGTGCAACAACGATAAAGAAAGCCATGGTATTTATACATTTTACAGCGATATGGACAGCTACAGCATTTGAAATAATTGACCTTAATAGCCAATAACAAAGTGTATGAGAAATGATAATATGCCATTTGTGCGACATTGACAGTCAGTAACAAAATGCGTGGGAATGATGATATACAAAATTAGCAGTCACTACCAAAATGCGTGAGAATGATGATATACAAAATTAGCAGTCACTACCAAAATGCGTGAGAATGATAACATACCATAAATGCAAGTTTAAACAGTCAATACCAAAATATGTGGGATCCTATCACCTCCCCCCGTAAAGAGTGTAGGACTTGCTTTTTGGATCTATTTGCAAAGGTTTCGGAGGTCTTCTTTGTCGAGTTGACCTTTGCGTGGTACTGGATAGAGAGTGATCTGTGTGTCTGCCACATAACTGTCCTTTTTCCTTTGTACGATAATGCAGCAAGAATTTATCCAAAATTTCTTTCTGTTGTTCCCTCCCCCTTCGCTTTTGCATAAGCACGCTTAAAGGTGTCGACGAAACGTTCAGTAATAGTTGACGTAGGAGGGACACTGTTGCAATTGATGTGGCAGAATGCATAGGAAATATCTCTGGCCATTTTGAAAACGCGTCGACACATATTAAGAAATGCATACTATTGAACGGTCCAGCGAAGTCAACATGAACACGGGACCATGGTTTGTCCGGTCGTGGCCAGGAACATAGTTCTGTCTTGCGTGGGCACTTTGATGCTTGAGCACATTTACTACACTTGCGAACGAGGTCTTCGATATGGTCATCGATGTTGGGCCAGTAAACATAACTGCGAGCGATCGCCTTCATTCTCCCAACACCAGGATGTGATATATGAAGCTGCCGAAGCACATGGTCACGAAGATTAGCTGGAACGACAACACGATCAGCAAACATTATGCATCCATAAACGATGGATAGGTATTTGCGTCGCTGGTAAAACTGTTTTAAAACATTTGAATGAACATGTGGAGGCCAGCCACATCGGATGAACTTTGATACTTGCTGTAAAACTGGATCACGCAGTGTGTGTCTGGCAACCTCAACTGCAGTCACCAGGAGATCGTCCAGAGAGATAGACATTATAATTGGGTTGTAATTTACACAGTCAAAATGTTATATAGTTGTGCTGAACAGAATAAAAACTGTCGTCGTTTGCTTGCTATAACTGCGATGAATAAAAGTAAATCCACGTCGCCAATTGTTGTAACGGTAGGAGAATTAAATGATAGACGTTTTCACCTTATTCTGTCTGCGCCTGAACTAATCTGTCTATCTGCTCGTCGTACCTTCCGACTTAGTAAAGCACGCAAATATCAAAAGACAAAGGCTGGACTGTGACTGTGTATTGAAGTGCAACAACGATAAAGAAAGCCATGGTATTTATACATTTTACAACGATATGGACAGCTACAGCATTTGAAATAATTGACCTTAATAGCCAATAACAAAGTGTATGAGAAATGATAATATGCCATTTGTGCGACATTGACAGTCAGTAACAAAATGCGTGGGAATGATGATATACAAAATTAGCAGTCACTACCAAAATGCGTGAGAATGATGATATACAAAATTAGCAGTCACTACCAAAATGCGTGAGAATGATAACATACCATAAATGCAAGTTTAAACAGTCAATACCAAAATATGTGGGATCCTATCATCTGGTGACACCCATGTAGCCTTGTGGATATCTTTGTGCTTGTATACACTGCCACCAATCACCAGTTCGTTGAAGGCGCAGAAGTCAGCGAAGAGTTCTCCGTTTTCATTCATTTCTCCGAGAGCTTCTCTACCCATGATGAGTTCCCTTCCCGTATTGTCTGGTCCCAGTTTGGCGTTCATGTCTCCCATTAGTATTTTCATGTCGCCAGCTGGAGTATTGTCCATTATTGCCTGTAGTTGCCTGTAGAATTCTTCTTTCTTCTCGAGGTCTGCGTTGTTTGTGGGTGCATAACATTGTATGATTGACACTTTCCTTCCTTTGGAGTTGAACCTGGCGGTCATTATCCTGGACGAAATCGCCTCCCATTGTATCAGGGCTTTCGTTGCCGTTGGTGACATCATGATAGCCACGCCCTCGGTGTGCGTGTGGTTATCTTCTGGGTGACCGGAGTAGATCACTGACTCACCTGTTGACAATTTGGTGAGTCCATTCCCATTCCATCTGCTCTCACATATTCCCAGCACTTGTATTCCGTATCTTTTCATTTCGTTGGCGATCTGGGCAGCTTTCCCAGTCTCGTACATAGTTCGGACATTCCATGTTCCTACACAGACTTTTTCTTTTGGTGCAAGGAGGTTCAACATACTGAAGTTTCTTTAGCAATTTTTTGTTTACAGGGTGGGGTTGCTAGCCTCACGCCTGAGAAAAGAATGATTACATTAAGTAAAAGTTTAGAGAGAATCCGACAGATAGTGGCTTATATATCAATTCGTTATACAGTACCATCATCTGTCAGTGTTTTTGAGGTGAGTATCAGTCGGCATGCACGCAACTTGTTTTCATTCTTCTGAGTTCCGAGTGAAATATAAGGCTCTAAGCGTGATGCTTTTAGGTTTTATTAGCGCTTGTGGTTCTGTGGGATGAGGTTGCTAGTCTCAAGCATGACCTTCCCACTTTTCTGGGCTTATTACTGGCTAAGCGATGTTTGGGAGTGTGTTGGCCAAAAATGTAACCACGCGGTTGGCAATCATTCTCTCCCTAAACTACCGATGTACAAAGTGGTGTCGAGAGTGGGATACGAATCCACGCCTACTTAATGGACTGCAGTTGGACTCTGCGATGAAGTGAACCCAGGACGCCTAGATTTTTGGCGGTCAAAATTATATTGTCTCTATGTGAGAGAATTACAAAATGAGTATTAGATAATGAGGATATATCGGTGGATAAGAATGTCCTTTTAAGTTTTGCACCGAAATATATATATATATATATCTTGAGACATCAAGTTACTAAGAATTATTGGCGGATGACACTAGTTGATATGATACGAAAATGTATTGACTGATCACTAGAGACAAACCTAATGACAACTGAAATGCCCCAATCAAGCGTGCAATATGATCATAGAGCTAGGAGGCATTGACGTAACATGGTTGAAGGCAGTTAGTAAGCTCTCTATTTGTTAATAGCATTCATAGATACTGACGTTTCCTGAGCACTCAGGAGTAGACCCCTAACACAGTTACACTCTAGTGACTAGTCATTGTATCCATCACACTCCAAAAGCAAGTTAATCTCAGCCCATATAGATAGGCGGTTACGTGTCTGACTGCAGGACTAGGTGACATGAGTTCGAATCTCTGAGGTAGTATCAAACAGTTCTTTGGATTTGCGAGAAACTCATTTTCAGGGATTCCAACAATCTGACACAAGTAGTATGACTATTAACATTTTCACAATCCTCCATTTAATAATTCGGTTTTCTATGTATCCATGTTTATTCTCACTACAATATTATTCTATATTAAATTCAACTCGCCTTTTTTTTATTTATTGTTCTAAATTATGACCATCTGAAGTGAGATGCACTTAGCACCTTTATTGATCTTTGTATCA